TTTTAGCTTAGAATCTGTAAAACAGACTGATTTATGGCAGCCATCTTGAATTAAGTTGACTCCAAACAAACAGTTGWATACGTGCATCCAATTCTTTGAAGTTTGATTAAAATCTATTCAATCATGAGATCTTTTTATAAAGCTTCAGACAGATGAAAACACATTTTTCCTTCTGTGGTCCTGAACACAGAACTASTAAATATGAATAAAAATGCAGTATATCACAGAAGCGGTTCATTGGAAGTTGTTATATTTGACAAAWCTAAACCAAACACTTCAGGAGTCTCCTGCTTTCCGACAGGCAGCCCACAGCCAACATCATGAAGACTTTTATCCCCAGCCTGTGTTTAGGCTGTTTATTTGTTCGTCTTTAAAAATTACTGCAAAGAGTCCTTAGTGTCCCAGGCTCCTGGTGGAGAATTTTTATTAATGTCACAATAAAACTGAATAAAACCCCTGCATGTTTTGTGAGATAATCATATCCCCAGCAAGGGAAAAAAGGTTTTATTTCCTGAGATATATGGGAATAAACATAAAATAACATCATATTCTCAGTCTCCTGCTACAAAGAGCAGAGATGGAGAGGACACAAAAAGGGAGAGCAGAGGGACTCACACGGTTGTGCTGCACTGCCAAGCCTCAGGCAACAAGCTGTGGACCAAAACAAAAAGCTCAGTGCTGTAACTGCACCAATGCTTCAAAAACAGGCTGACATATTCTCCTGCATTYACAGCATCTGCTAACAATAACTGCTCCTTTAGACACACTGCTGCTCCATGTACTCATGTCCAAGCAGGGACATGAGATCACGGTTTGCATTTTAATGGTTGATAAAGGATTTCTTGATTTGTTTTTAATTTCTTTATAATTGGATGATAAATTTGTTTAACACCAACTSTGTTAGCTAGCTAGCTATCTAGTCCGGTTAGCTATCAGTAACCACTGACTAAAGGCATCAACGCATGCGTCAGAAGATTGACCACTGTGGTACGATTGGACGCCATATTGGAARGGGCGGGCTGTCAAAATAAAYAATTTATCATGGCTACATTTCCAYGTTTAACTGCATWTAAATATTACTTTTTCATTGGTTAGCTTCTGTCTATTAAAAACATTTATTGCAAACATGTACCTTGTTTTTGCCTGATATAATGTTACAACATTCAGCTTTACCAGCTAACAGTAAGCTGTCCTCGCCCTGAACAAAATGGCTGCTCTCTCTGTCTAAAAAGTCACGAGATAGCACYTCTAGTCAAGATACCTCATTGGCAGTAATTGTAAGCTAGTCGGACTAACTAACAGTAACTCTTTTAGCGATCAAGATCAACACAGCTGTGGTTTCCTTTCACCTTGAAGCTGGAAAGGTAAAGATCCAGAGATTGTTTTCTTTGGATCAATGGGAATAAAATGACTAATCTTTTTTTTTTTAGTAATCCAAACAGTGTTGCAAATAGATGCAAAAAGACAGAACCAACAGACTATTTCAGCTGCTGTTCCTGACTGACATGTTTTCTATCTTTAACTCCACTTTGCATTATTTTCCCAGCACCTCACATCTGTTTTAGTCTCATTGTGCAGACAGCATGCTTCCACAAGGTGTGCTGTTTAACAATCGCATCGATTTACTGTCCGTACAAATTCCTCTGCTGTTCCATAAAACACAGTCTGTTTTCAAACCCACTAASTGTTTTAATCTGTTTTTATACAAACTTTTTTTTATTTCAGTTAGTTTATTTACATGAACAAARACATTTTAAATCGTTTCTCTGCAACGAGCATAACTTACCCACCTCACAGACCAACAAGTGGACTGTAGTGAAGTTTAATTAATAACCAACTGAGCAGAAAAGTGATCGTTTTTATTTATTTACCTTCACACTCGTGATGTTGCACGTTTTTTTGTCCTTGTTGCTGCCTCTCAGTTCTTAAAAACCCAATGCTGCGTGTGCATAAATTGAGATCAGATACATCTTGTCGATTCTGAGTGGATTTTGTCGCTGATCTGTTGGTTCTCCTACATGWGTGTTTGTTCACTCCTCAGGCAGTCTGTGTTCTGATCTTGGCTATGTYCTGGCCTGTGGTTAAGGCATGACGGATGGAGACAGGGAGACACGGGAGGAGGGCAGATAAAAGAATGACCTGACAGATCTCCTATCATACTTCTAATCACTGAAAAACAAAACAAAAAAGGAGCACGGGAGTGAATGTTCACAGGGTGGACAGGGACTACGTGCCTGCTGTTTTTGGAACAGAATGTTTCTGTTGGGRAGTATGCTTCTTCGCAGAGTATATTTACATTTTAATGAGATTCTAGACACTGTTTTAACAAACTGTGTGCTCTGTTAGATCACAGAAATGTTTGGAGGTGGTTTTAGGCCACAAGCTGTAACACTCAGCCTTATTTTGGGAGACTTTTGAAAGACGATTTATCTCTGTGAGCTCTGAATAATCATCTTAGAGTCATCTTAAGGCAAACAAGTGTTAGTAAAGGAGAGGAGACTTGTTTTCTTCCCCAAACCATTTAACAGGGCTGCACAATAAATGGACGCAACAACTTGTGGATCGTGATCAAATTTGTGGGTGCTATTGGGAAAGGGTAGTATTGTTTACGYAGCTGTACCAGGGTTTCCTCCAGTGTATTATAGCCCTGGTGGCTCCATAGACTTTACCTTGTCTTTGCTTTTTGCGCCACTGAACTTTGAGACAAGAGGATAAGTGGCTAGGACCTAGCATTAGCAATGTAGCACTCAGCTACCATGGCATCATCATTGAAAACATTCCCCCCTCAGSTTATAAACAGTACCGCCGGCCTTAGCAAGTTTTATAGTGCAAACCCTGATTTTTTTTGCACAATGCCGTTGTTAATGAGAATCAAACAAAGATTTCACCTAATCCCAGAAYTCCAGTGTGCGCTCAGACGCCTTTGAAGAGAGTGAGTGACAGCACAGTACCTTAGACTAAAAAACAAAACATGGAGTACTTTAAATGAACAGTAAAAGTGTACTGAATACTGTGCAGTCCAGTCTTTCCCTCCACTCCCGATTTATCGCTTCCAAAGCGAATGCAAATGTAGAATCTGACTTGAACCTTCAGATTATGAACATCAAAGCTCATTGCTGATTTGACTTTYTATGTTTTTTTGTTATTTATGACAGAGCGTTGTGTCCTGGTGGTGCATGTCTGCCTCGTTGGACGTTTGTTTCCCCACTTTTTAGCTAGTTTTTGTGATTCCTCCATACTGGTTTTGTAGCTAYGAGCTAAATGCAAACCCATGGCACCACCAGCAAAAAATTACCAGGATGATGTCAGTGAGAACCATCTATATTAGAACAACATAACACATATTATTATTGTTAAATGATTCAAAGACCAACTCTTGATTAACCCAAATTTAACACACACAACGAATAAAAATTTTACAAGTTGTATAAAATATGGTACTATAATGTAACAGGACCTTTAGATACAATAACTTAAAATTCAAGTACCATGCATTTTTTTCTCTTGTCGATAATTCGTTTGGCCAATGAGATGAAAGCTCACTTCCTAACAAGCCCACAAACAAACAAAAACTGTGGTTAAAGCTTGTTTCTGGGACGTCGTGTTGAATTTAAAGTTAATTTTTTTAAAGCTTCACTTTTTTTCCTCCCTTCTCACCTTTTTACCTTTACCGTGAGCTGAGTCCTTATGGAACATCGACGTGTTACAGTGTAGAGTTTGACCTTAGCCTCGACCCTGGATTGCACCAGACGACGTGTTGTCCAGTCAGATCAGTTTCAGTTAAAAACAACTGTCTGCTTCAGGTGCAGGTGTAAATTTTTCAACTCAGGATTGTATCGAATCTCTTAATGAAAATGCAAAACTTAAGGAAATTGGCTATTAAAACCATATTTTTGTATGTTAAAAACAAGGCAGTGGTATTTTTATCTGAACTGGGTCCAGTTTTTGAAACAGGAATTTAAGGCTCAAAGATTCTTTGTAGTCTGTTTCTTATCATTTCAAACTTGTGAAATTTAAACAATGTAAAAAATAAGGCTCTCCAGWTTGTACTGCAGTAGCACCAACCTTTTATTTCTCACTATAATCATGTTGTTTACTCACCTGCCAGGTGTTATGAAAAATGACACCCAATTCCACAGCAGACAGATTGACAACATGAACTAACAAGGGGCATTTTTTTATTTCAATCAGATGTCCAGGATGTGTTTGAATATCAAGATGTAAATAATACAAAATTTATTGCATTATTATTCAGGATCAGAACTTCCAAATAATTGAAACAATTGTCATCATGTGCATCACAGATTATTGTACCGTGCTACACAAATTGCTTTGTTTACTGAAATCTACCAGTCAAACTAATAWKAAGAGTTGGTTCAAACATGGGCTGCAGCTAATAAATGCTTTAATTATTAGGTAACATTAAATAACCTGTCAAATAAAGGCAAAGC